AAATTTGGTCCTAAACTTAAAGTGATGTCCTTTTTTAAGGTAACTGGTAATAAATTTCATCAAAATTGGAGTGTTTAGAGAAAATACGTAGGATAGATGGTTGCTATTTGTAATTTAGAAATTCCGAAAGTTTTGACTATAGACTGCATCAAACATGAATCTGACTCTGATAGGCGATCGTTGTTTGGTATTTAAGGAATTTGTACACGCTTGTATATAATTTGGATACTGACGAGCATTTAAAAAATCATTTGACCTGCTGTTCGTTGTTTCTCACCTTGTTCTAACAAGGAGAAATTTTTTCAAAAAAGCTTTTTTTTCTAGGGCCCAGAAGATACTTTCGGAGGGCAAGTTCTTCTGAACATGCATTTGATCATATCATACTAAAACATGGGTCAACCCATTTCATACAAAAATATCTCAGCAAACAAGTGAGTGATGATTGGTACATGAAGCGAGACCGAAGGATTGCGTTCAAAATTTGTCAAAATTAACGCTGTTTTGTCTGTTTCCTCCACTGTCTGATGTCTCATGTATTTTGCACCAGAATACGATGTACCATGATACGATGTACCTGCTCCGAAAGCTCTTTTTGTTCGTGTACCTTGCTTAAAACTTTTAAGTTATGTTACTGTAATTTATCTCACTTGTCTGACAGTAAATTAGAACAAGTCCATGAAATTCCTCGTGGCAAGGACAGCAAGATTGTGCTTGTCGTTGGTAAGAGCCTTGCGCGGCGTACGGGTGATAGTAAAGTCTATATCACACGTCGGTTTGTTTCAAAAGAACAACTGTTTGGAACAATTTTTCTGCTTTTCACAACAGCCAATCACCACAGCTCGCTTTGGGGTTAACAGAGGGAAAACTGGTTCTGCATTACAAACAAGCTAACAGCATTCGGCGCTGATAGCTGATTGGTTGAAAACGAACAACTTGCAACTTTTTTCGAAAGGAAGGCAAAAGTCGCACGTCTTTCTTTCAATAGTAAACCAGGCAGAAATTTGTCCGAAACAGTTGTTCGTGTGAAACAAACGCCGTGTGATATGGGCCTTAGACTTCGTTCAGTTCAACAGCTCCCAATTTTCATGAAGAACAACCCAGGCGAGGGCTAGGGTCAGAGGGTTCCCTACCCCTCTTACCATGCCAAAAGGACGTTCGACAGGACGTTCGGCTCGCCATATATTTATACTGCCCCCATACTGCGTTCCCGGAGCAGGGTGTAGCAGAGAGTAGACGGTTTCTGCCAGGAAGATATCACACTGTGAGGCTAAGGCCAGGTCAGTGGTCTTCCTTGGTGGCAATCACTCACTCACTGCCCCCATGCTATAAAGACACTACACATTTACAAACATCCATGTCTTCACCGGGGATTCAAAACCGGGCCCTTCGGTACCGCAGTTGGCTTCCCTGACCACTATAGCATCTGGGCGGCTGTTTCAAGTTATATGTCTCCGTATTCGTTTAATATAGCACTATGCGAGATTTTCTTGACTACACAGTTTAAACACCTGCTTCGTTTTCAGGTAAATATACAGGCAGGCGGCACACCAGAAGTTCACCATTGGTTGTGCAAGTATAGTAACTAACTGTTCAGCACCGCTCCAATTTTGATGGAGATTGCAACGTGGGATGGTCGAAGTGTCTCCCCCCCCTTCTTTTCCCAACACCAAGCGACTGGCAAACGATCTTCCAGTATTTCAACAGACACTTATATATAACCGTCCCTTCTACGGGATTTAAACCCAGACGCATCGGTACGACAGCGAGCGTCTTTAATCACAGATCACAATTCCAAGTGTATTTTTGCAACGATTCCTGAAAGGATACTCGAAATTGGTTTTAAAGTACGTTATGTGTTAAGTAAAATACTATTAATAATACATAATATTCGCATAAATTTGTTACATTCAGAGAGATTACATGGAAATGGTGTAATTAATATTGACCAGTAATTTTAAAGTTTGCGCGCAGCTCATACTTTTCCATGAAAGTATCACTTGTTGTTGATTTGTTTCGATAGTTTCTTTCTTCTCCAACTTTTATCAAATATTAGAATACACTGAAAGAGGATTATTTTTCATTGAACTGAATCTTGAATCCATCAGTAACATGATGGTATGAAAATGACCTTTTTTGGCCAAACAAGCTACATTTCAAGCTCGTTTCAGCGTTATCTCCAGATACGTCAGGTGACTGATGAAATCTATCTTAGTAAAATAAAGAAGATAGTATATTTGTTTTAAATTTCGCATTGTTTAGCATAACTGATATTTATTGCTATATATTTTTTAAAAACTTATAATTCACCCTTTTAATTCTAATTATGAAGAAAGTTTGAGATTTTCTTTGAACCATTTGAAAAAAGGAGATTCAGTATGAAATGAAAAATATTGAATTTACATATTTTTCAATTTTAGGATCAAGCAAAACCCGTTCCAAATGACGTTTGTTGACATAACATAAATCTGAAAGATCTAGATCCGCTGTCATTCATATTCAAATTTTACTTCTTTGATATAGTGCTAGAGCAAGCTATACACTACCATGCATTTTTCATATACTTTACATAAACCTGCATTCATATTTTCTTTTCAAAAAGACATGAAAAAAATTATAGTATTTCATTTTTTCCATTAATTCAAAAGATTATTTTCAATTTTTCCTCATGAAAAAATAGTAATTCTTTTGCAGCTTATTAAAAATAAGCAATATGAAAATTTGTGTTTTTCAGTCTGGTATTCGAAACGAATCTGCGTTCATTAGAGGAGGATCATTTAAAAAATTATTTTTGTAAAATATTTTCGTTTTAAATGTTAAAGAGATCAAATTAAACGTGAGTTATGTTTTAAATTTTAGATATTGCATTAGTATAGTTCATTTAATTATTATTGGTGGTAAATAATTATATACATTGAGGGGACTCTCATAACAGCATGATTAAAATGATGCAAATAATTGAAAATATATGCTGCACTGAGAGTTTCTTAGCTATATTTTAACAGAATTGTTTTTGGATTTAGAGTATCCACATGACATTGAGCTGATTTAAAATGAGATTCTTTCTTCAAATATAATTAGCTTGATGATCACAATGATTTTCCAAAATAGCCTTCTTGTGTTTAATGCATAAGTATTTCGTGTATTAAATTTGTTAATTTCAAGCACATGTGCATGTTTTTAATTTAAAGAATGTTTTAGTTCCAAGCCTATATGCTTGATGTCCAAAACCGTTGATGTATATTTTATTTTATGTTTTAGCGAAAACAATTTGCGTTTTTTTTTTTTTAATTTCTTGTGTAAATTAGTGAGTAAAGAAGAAGCCAAACATGTTTGTCATGATCAGTGAATTGGAATAATTGTTTTCAATTAAACGTTTCTACAGAAAAGTCAATGATATAATTCTTTCAATGATAAAAATTTCGTGGTAAGCAAAGATTATCCCAAAGCAATTAATTTTTAAAGATTTTATTCCTCTGTCATAAGGAATTAAAATCAGAAACAATTGTAATACTTATTATTTTATAGTCTTATGCTACGAAGAATCATTATTGCTTCAGAATGCCTCATATTAATTTAAAGAAAATGTATATTCTGTTTAAAGAAATAAATTCATTTTTGCCATGCGTTTAAAGTACTAATAATTAAATCATTGTTTCCAACATAGAGCTTAGTTAAATATTTTTAGAAAAAAACCCGGCATCTAAACTTTTCCTTACTGAAAATATTTTCACAGTTTATTTTCTTATTTGTACGTTTTTTAAATATGTTTTCATGCTCATTATTGTTTTATATTTAAAGGTTCATCGAAAAACTAGCAAATTTAATTCAACTGAGAAATATTTTTCATGTTAGCAACCAATTGTTTTAAAACGTTAATACCCGTAACTTAGGAAAATGCATCAATAAGTTAACCTTTTAGGAAGGCAAAGGCAGCTTTTAAATTGCCTTTTGAAATATAACTATCTACATTAATTTTCTACTCAGTTTCAGTTTTTTGAATGCAGAAATGACCTTTTTAATTTATTTGCAAAGTGTATTAGTTAATTCAAAAATATAAAAGTAAAAATATTCCTCATTCATTCTTGAGCTCACAAATCATCATGAGAATATGCGTTTACAACTTTTAAAGCCTGAAAAGACCATGTCTGCGATTTTATCCTCATGCGATGATTTGCTTACTACGATCTTTTCAACGACCATACTTTTAAACTGTGAAGTGTTTGAACCACTTTATTTTCGGCGACAATGTTTTATACCCCATTGTTTTAAAACTTCGATGTTTTCTCCTTGTTTTCTTTTCTTCAGCGATGTTTTGTAAGACGTCGTTTTCATCTTGCGTTGTTTTCTCCATGATATTTTTGTCTGTGATGTTTTCGCCTGTAACTATATAAGTATCTCAGACCTTTGATGAATTTTTACATTTATCTGTTTATCATACATTAATTAATTGCTTTTGTAACTATCTGATATTATTTAACTGGCAATAAAATAGCATTTATTTGTTTTACAAACTGGTCCTATATTTTAACAGCCTGGGTTATACCGTGCGTTTGGTCCATTAATCCCAATACCACCATAATATATACGTGTATTGCTGATAACTATTCCCATGAATGAACAATCATGAAACTGACTTCTGTGTAGCAAAACAAATTTTGAAATTAAAAGCAGTTCAATTACATCATTTGTTTTTAATGATTAAATTATTTTATTCTTAACAGCTGCATTAATAAATATAAGAACTTTATATTGTACTTTAAGTGTCCTTAAAAATAGAGGCTCTTCAAAGAATGTTATTACTAATTATGTTCAATCAATCCTATCTAAATTATTGTAAAGCATATGTAAAGACAGACTACAAACTGAAACATTTCTTATTTGAATAAACACGTTCCCATTATCTACCTGCATGTTGTAAGACTAGTTCAGTTCCATGTGCCTTCACAAATGCAAAGGAAACAGTATATGTGGTAAACTGAATATTTATTTTCTTGTTCTAGGGCGTTCCATATGCTAAAGCACCAGTGGGCCATCTGAGGTGGAAGAAGCCGATATCTTGGTGGTCAGATGGCGAATGGTGTGGACGGAAAGAACGCAGGAGGGCGCATAAATATGCGAAGCCTTGTTTCCATGTAGACCCAGAGACCCGGAAATTCCGAGGCACGGAGGACTGCCTCTACTTGAATGTTTGGTCTCCACGTCTTGACACGTCGGTGAGTTTCTTAAACTTTTGTTAAGATTGTAAATATTCCTAGATGAATTTTGATTAGGTCAAAAGGTCTGGAATAATGTCTATTTATGTCCCCTAAAGAATGTTTTACTTATAAGCCTTAAAACAGTTGTTCAAGGTAACGGCTATTTAATTTTGTAAAAGTAAAATCTCTGCAATATGTAATATAATTTACTTTTCGAGAAAGAAATCATAGAAACTATAGGATTTTACTTGATCGTATGAATTTTCATGCAATGAATTAGAAACGAAGTCGAAGAAACTGCACACTTTTGAATAAGTAGCACAATTTTGAATTTGAATTTTGCACAATAAGCTAAGTGTGCAGAGAAATGGACATAAGACCGAACGCAAATGCAAATCCTTATATTTTATATTATGTATCTCAAGTATATTATTATTATGTCAATAACACAAGTTTAATGGTCATTTATTAATTAAATCTTTGCATGTAGATTTAAGACCTGAAACCTGTGACTTTTACCATGCGATTTGCTTAAACTAAATTTAGTGAATATTTGGTGATCTTTAAAGGACCCAGTTTTTAAAGAGCTGAGTACCTCCAGTTGTTCTGTAGATCTGTAAGATGTAGGTTAATTTTAATTATTCTGTAAACAGGATATATTGAATTTAATATTATTTTAACCTTAACACTCTCCCATTATATATTTAATCAATAATATATGGGAAATTCAGAAAACAAATCCCATCTCATACCCCCCCAAAAAAGTTATTGGATTATTATATTTTCATTTAGCTGATACTTCATAAAGTTATTAGCCTATCTTTGCAGGAAATATGAAAACTCAACTGCTCCTTTATTTGGAGTCTACGGGTGGCCGAGAGTTAAAGTCGCTAAACACTGGTAGTTCGGTTCGAATTCCGAAAACGGGATGGCTGCGTGGCGTTTTTGTGGTTTTGCAAATACGTAACGAGTATACGAGCCAGTTTCCTTTATAATATCCTCCACGAAGGCATCCCTCCCATTAGGCAGATAGCTCTCAAGAGCTTTGCCGTAATCAAATAAACCAAATCAAACCCACAAACCATTACAACACAAAGCATTTTCTCTAATCCTTCTTCCTTACATCATTCTGTCGCACTTAAAGCATGACTAGGGCATAAGGCCCAGTTTGCCATATTTGCCATACGCAGGCGGTGACGAATTATTATTTCTTACATGTTGCCTTGGGTAAACAATAGAAAACGGTTTGACTTTTTGAAGAGATAAATGTGAAAAATAAACTACGTCTTCGCTTCGAATTGAACTACAGACCCTCCAGTTTGCTAAATGGCGATGCTAAAAATTACACCACACGGCAGCAGGTCGAGAAAATGGCATGGTCCTAATTCGTTATGTTATATCACTACCTTTTATTTTGCAGTCAGAAAATGGTGCCATCCTTATAAAAATCTATAAACCGCATTAAAGATTCAATAAAATTACGCTGTCAATAAAATTACATTCACCAAGCAGTCTTTGGGTTTAAAATACTGAATATAAAAGCAATTAATTTTTTTTCCAGCGATGTACCTTTATGAGCTCTTTTGACCATCGCTTTGATCCTGCTATTTTCCCCATACATCTCCAAGGGTTAATGAGCCCGATCTGTCATTTTCGCATTCCATGAGACAGCTCATAGCAGACCATATTTCAGAGCTGCACAGCGGCGGGTGATTCTACTGGCCAAACATTTTAACACGCATAACGATGCATAAATGCGATTAATATTATTAGTGGCTTGCATTCAAATGAAAATACGCGTTCTACATCCTTCTTTTCTGCTGCAGACACTCGTGACAGCTAAGCAACAAAAGCACTGTTTTCTAATTTAACTTTTTACTCCTCTGGGCCTGCATAAAAATCTCGAGTTTGAGTAAATGTCGCCTTTGCTTCACATTTACCGTCACATGATACAAAATTTGTCTGAGGGGATATGTTTCTGTCCACACATAAACCGAAACAGGTTACGTACTTATGATGTTGTCAAGTTATTTATGTAAGACACACTTAGAATTTCATCGCAGTAATTTAGAGTTAACACCAATGTAAGCTGCGCAAAAAAAAAAAAGTGACAGTTCTATATCTCCCGTTCTAGTGGGCCAATTGACGAAATTCAAACTGAACTTTTCACGTCTCGAAAGCGCGACTTAGGATATATATTAGATTTATATGTAGCTTTATCCTAATATAGGTATTTTGACACGAAATGGGACTTTTTGTGAAATAATATAACAATGTTTTCTCATATTTCGATTCTACAGCTCAAATTATACCTAAATATTAAATTTTGTAAAATTTGGTGCGAACTTTCTGGAGAAATTTAAAAATTTAACTCGGTTCATTTTTTTTCAGTTTACGCCAAGAATAAATCACTTGGCGAACTTGTTAATATATGGCAACCTATTTTCCTTTGTGCAGGAGCGGAATAAAGTCACATCGTTCTTATATTCAAATAATTTTAACAAAGTGCCTAAACCACATTTGATGTTATTATCGCTTTCAACAAATAAGCCAAATTCCAAAACCCGACAATATATAAATTCACGTATATCTTCAGAAATTTTGAATAAAAAACTGTAATTTTTTGCAGGTAGGCTTATAAATACAACTACTTTCAGATGATGGTAAAACTTTTATAGATAGTAATTCAAAATGTTCTTCGAAAAATTTATAAAAATTATCTAAAAATACAAATTTTTAAAATAAATCATAAAAAATAAGCGAATTTTATTTGGAATGAACCTAAATTTCAAAATATCAAAGGAAGAATCAAATAAGTAAAATAAGAGATATTAATAAATATATATCAAATTCAATTTACATTGAGGAACTAAAATTTTGAAAATTGATTTTTTTTTTAAAGTTACTCTTGCGATTTTTACAAAACGTGACAATTTGGCATAATTTGAGTCGCAGAATTGAAATATGGAAAAAAAAAGAAAATTTTTCATTTCAGAAAAAGTCCGATTTTCTGTCAAAATACCTATATTAGAACAATGCTATATATAAATATAATACATATCCTAAGTCGCGCTTTCGAGACATGAAACACGCAAGTTGAATTTCGTCAATCGGTCCAGTAAAACGGGAGATATAGAACTGTCCCTCCTTTTTGGGGGGCGCAGTTTACATGCGTTCAAAAAAAACGACGTTACATATTCTAATCCATTCACAACAAAATCGTACAAATGACATTCCTAAGATAAAACCCTTTTTAAAGGGGAACGGAATGTAGTGCTCTGTGCAATAAAAACTGATGACGCCGATGCCTTCCACAATCCGAAATTTGCTTCAAAACTTGAGTAAAAGAAGCTTGGAGTAGATGATCGCATTTAACCAGCAGTTTCATCGGTGCAGAAAAACGAATACTGGGAATTTCAGCACATTCAATCTTGCTGTGTTATGGAAGACTTATGTGCTTTTTGCTGCGCATTTATTTCAAGGTTCCGCATATTTTCCGTTCGCTTGGGAATTTTCATTCAAAATTCAAATCCTCTTAGAAATAACTAAGCAAGGTTTCGCGATATATGCGATAAAAACGACATACAAATTCAAGTACTGGTAACTTGAGTTATCCTCTCTTTTATTTCAGAAACAGAAAGAAAACAAGCAGGGAGCTTTTACTTCTGCCTAGCTTTGATCGATATCCTCCCTTGAATAAACTTAGAGGCGAATGCGTAGAATTTAAACTACTTCTTTGGTTAAATCTTTATCGCAAACAAGGGCCAACGTGTCGAGGGGGACGTCTTTGGGAAGTTGGATGAAAAATTCACCGATATCTTCGTTTCAGTCGAGGCTTTGTACGTCTTGCTTGTGTTTATTCCTCCTCCTTTTCATAGAGAAAATTTCCATTCGTATAAACTATAGATTTAAGGAGATTTGTTTCTGCCATGAAGCAGAAGAGAAAGAAACAGATTTCGATCGAGAGATAGTTTCGCTTCTCATTTCTATTTGTGTCTTTATTTATTTGTTTTAACAGTACTGAATCTGTCATGGACAAATATAAATACACTCAACCGTGAACGCCAGGCTCTGCTTTTTTTCCCCACGCGATGATTTATCAAATTTTGTCGATGTCTCTAAAACAGTCTGCCAACTATTCTTTTGCAAACAAGTGAACAAAAGAAATCAATTTTATGCATTATTCAAGCTTCAAAGCTATATTCGGGAATGAATTGCTTTCTAATAAATTCATTCAAATCCAAAAACAAAAGTATGTTTCGTGCAGAAATGCAGACGATTACATATAAAAAACTATCAGTGCATAATACTTTTTCAAGATACTATAAGATGTATTTCTTTAGAATCTGCATAGATATTGATACAATAAATTGCATACGAATGCATATAAAATATAACGTTAATAAAATCCCATTCTCCCGTTCAGTCAAGAAGAAATTGAATTTAAGAAATGAAAGCAAAGCCTTATCATGTACACTAAGTCGTTATCCTCTGAAAATAATCTGAGGTTACAGATTCTTATATGATGTTTTCTCATGATAACTCTTAAAAACATACATAAAATAAAGAAACAAGAACGTATGTGGTCAGGACACACCTTTTTCTTATAGTTTCTATTTATTTTTCCTTATACCTCGAATACTTGGGCATAGCAATAATTTACCAATAACTTAGAATTAGAATTCTTTCTGAAGACTGAAAGGAATTTACTGTTAAGCTGCATTATTGAATGAACTGTCAGAGTAGTCTTTTAACGTGAAATGATTTCATTTACTTATTATCAGCTGTTCTAATGCGGAGTATGAGATCATAAAGAAATTTTCTAAAAATGAAAAAACTGCAGACCATACGATCAATTTCTACGTTATTCTCATTCGTCAATATTTCTTTCAATAATTTCTGCTTTTTAAATCATTCCTGTCATTTTATCTTTAAAGAATATATCACTTCGGTAACGTTGGACCAACAGTTGCGACCACCCATTTTGAAATTGAAAAATATTCAATTGTACATTCGAAAATTATTACTTAAATTATTACTAA